TAAACATCTGACGGTTAAAATAGTGTATGCTAGTAGAGTATTTTTTTTCGTACCCCTACCAAAGAGTTCTCATTATACATATGGCAAAAAGTGCATGTTTTTGAATGTTTAATCTTGTCAGAATCACATTATAAATGAAAAGCATGCAAAATTAATAGACCCTAATAAAAATTTTAACGGTTCAGATTGGGGGGTGTGTGTGTGTGTGAATGCATAAGAAAAGAGTGAGAGATTCTTACAGTCCTCCATGGACAATGGACGTCCCTGCAGCAAAAACAGTCCCTCCTTGTGCGCCATGGTACATGACCAATCTGCTAGCATAGTAACACATAAAAGACCACATAGCAAACACACTGGCGCTGCTTCCAATTCCCAAGCCTTTGACCAAACCTGCCTCAATCCCAACTTAGTGGCCCCGTTTAAAGCCGTGGAGAATTTTGCTACAGTGGTTTTCTCGCCGCCAAAGGCGTGAACAGTTCTGATGGAGGATATTGCCATCTCTGCTACTGTACCAGCCTTATTGTATTCACTCCTAATCTTTCCTGCTAAATTCAGCAAGGATCTTCCACACATCCACCCGGGAATTACTAGAAGCAACACAAATGGGAGTGCCACCAAAGCCAATTCCCATGACACTATAAACGCTACGATAAGACCTCCTATAAACGTGGATACTTGGCTCACAAAGTTTGGGACCTGTTGAATTTTCAGGTTCACATTCACCAATGGCCCCGTGAAAATATGCATTAGTCTCCATTTTGACTCTCTGACATTCATTTTTAAAGGTCCATCTATCCAGGGGTATATGGAATATATAATTTCGGTCCCTCTTGCTATTAAACTGTCTGTTTTTAGATACTATAAAGCACGAAGATGGCTTATGATAGTTTTAATATGGATCAAATGGTTAAAAAAAAAAAAAAGACCTAAAAAAATATTCTGAAAGGAAGACATGAATTGGGCAACAAAATCCAGATCTTTACTATGGATCTTTTTTTAAATTTTTTTTTTTTTTAATACCATTCTATCTCTTTTAAAGTCCTTACATCCTATCTTTGTGCTAAGATTCCTCCTGAAAATCACAGTTTACTAACATAGTTGGTAAAAAAAAAAAAATTCATAAACCTCAGATAATTAGACCTCTAAAACTAAACGTCAGGAACCAAAATGATACAAGTGCATATCTTCAGGGACCATCAGTATAAATAACCAAAAGTTTTAGGAATCAACTACTTTTAAGCAAAAATAGTAAACCAAATGACAAAAGTCTATCAGTATGTATAGATTATATATATATACAGTTCAAGTATCACGAAACCTTTTCACTGATAGCATCTTGAATGATGAGACTGTCATTGGAGATGGTTGTTATAACCTCAGCTGTGTTTGAAGTATACAAGTCAAAGTAACTAAGGTCCTGTCGCAATATTGCTTTTAAATATTTGATTCTCATTCTTGCAGCTTGTCTCTCACCTGTTCTTGTCCAACAGTATCCTTCTGCAATTTTCACATAAATAACATAAAAAGAAAAACCATTAACAGATTCTTACAAACAATCTGACATGTATAATAAAGAGAGGGCGAGACAGAATTCACCTAGAAAACAAGCAACCAAAGACACACCAGCCCCGTATAATATCCCCACAGCGTTCTGCATCCACCCAAAGAAATGACTTCATCAAATTTGAGCAATAATATTACACATCATAACATTATATTATCTAATTAGTCATAATTAATTTGCTTAGTATTTTCAAGAGAGAAAACAGAGAAGGACACAGAGAACTAGACCTTATTAGGCTTTGCCGCAGAACATCAGGGTCCAACTTTGATGCATTGCCAATACTGTTAATCATGTGGCTGGTGAAATACAGCGGAAGACGGTCAGTGAACCCATCAAGAACGGCGCCGATGAAACCGAAAAACATCAACAGCATATCCACCCCATCTGCTTGCATGAAAAATGGAGCGTACGGACCCATTTACACGTTCTGTCTTCCCTTGTTTTTGGCTTTCCTCTAGAACCATTTTCCCAGTCACTATGCGTGTGTGGTGCGTCTTATCTCCACGACGTCCTTTGTTTTATTGTATTATACTTCAACAACTTATATATATTCAAATGAGGAAATAAGCATATGTACATATATATATAGATATATACACTGTATAAATTATAACATTTGTTCCGTTTTTGTTTGGCTAAAGTGACGAGGTTATAATTTATCTGCATATAATAATGGGCACTACTAATGCTTTGTTCCATTTTTGTTTGGCTAAAGTGACGAGGTTATAATTTATCTGCATATAATAATGGCCACTACTAATGCTCTGTTAATGCTCTGTTCCCTTTTTGTTTGGCTAAAGTGACGAGGTTATAATTTATCTGCATATAATAATGGCCACCACTAATGCTCTGTTCCCTTTTTGTTTGGCTAAAGTGATGAGGTTATAATTTATCTGCATATAATAATGGCCACCACTAATGCTCTGTTCCCTTTTTGTTTGGTCAAAGTGACGAGGTTATAATTTATCTGCATATAATAATGGCCACTACTAATGCTCTGTTCCCTTTTTATTTGGCTAAAGTGACGAGGTTATAATTTATCTGCATATAATAATGGCCACTACTAATGCTCTGTTCCGTTTTTGTTTGGCCAAAGTGACGAAGTTATAATTTATCTGCATATAATAATGGCCACTACTAATGCTCTATTCCCTTTTTGTTTGGCTAAAATGACGAGGTTATAATTTATCTGCGTATAATAATGGCCACTACTAGACGTCATCCATAGTACAATAAATAAACAATATCTGGAGCCATTTTACGTATATAAATACAATTCATCATGATCGCAGTTTAGAATCTGAATAATAAGATTTGCTTTTTTCAACAGATAATCGCATTGATTAATCATATTGGTGAAGGTATCGAACGAAAAATATTGTGCACAAGAAAGCTTCTTCAACACAATTTGAACGCAATCCCAATTCCCAGCTTAGAATCAGAATAATAAGATTTGCTACTTAAAACATAATCAAATTAATTAATCATATTAGTAAAGGCATCTCACAGAAAATATTGCTGCCTTATCATACACAATCGAACATAATCGCAGTTTAAGAACGCTCATAAAACAATACAATTGAACATAATCACAGTTTAGAATCTGAAAGATAAGATTAATCATAACGTTAAAGTTACCTCACAGAAATTATCGTGCATAATTAAGGTGGCAGCTGCATGGTTGCGAGAGAGAGAAAGAGAGACTGTGGAAAGGAGGGTGGCTGGTGCTGTGAGAGATTGGAATGTGTCCACGTAGTATCTTTTAGACCCGACTATTTTGTTTTTATTTAATTATTTAGAAGTAATTGGCTTCGATTTTTGAACAAATAATTGTCACTGCCGACAAATATCACCAAAAGACATTGGTTCTATATTTTCAATTTGGACAATCAAGTTCATAAACTCTTGATTTCTTTACAATTTTGAAAAAATCAAGAACGTTCAATTTTCGATATAATTTTTCACGTATACGACATATGACTTAATTCAACATTGAATTTTCAATTAATTCAACATTGAATTTTCAACTACACACTTCAATTTTTTTTTAAAATATAATATATATTTTCAAAAAAAGCCCAAATGTATATATATATATATATATGTGTGTGTATATTCTTTTCAAAAATAAAAACCTTAAATCAAGCTTAGACTTTACTCTAAGGTTTCGTTTGGTACGAGAGTTCTAAAATCAGAATTATAATTCTGATTCAAATCTTTATTTATTTGTAAAAAGTAAAAAATTGTTCTTGAATATCAGTGTTTAATTTAGATAGTTCTGATTTAAGATTTAAATCATGATGTGATATTTGAAAACAGAACCATCTTAAAAAATAATACCACCTCCTCATTGATTTTAGATAGTTCAAACTTCTGGTTCTGATTCTAATTTCAGAACTATAATTTAGACTTAAAGTTCAAACTATAAATTATAATTCTAATTTTAAAACTAAAACCACATTAATTTAAATTTTCATACTAAACGCAACCGAGATAGTTTCCGATCTGTCACTAGAATCCTGCGAGGACGAGGTTGGTGTCGCTGATCTCGAGGCTGCTTACATAGAGATAGAATAATAAAATTGTGCCTAATTTTCACATTTCTCTTTTCCTTCACGTAAATTAGGCTTTACGTATTATTACCTGTGAAGTCTAATTATTCACACGTGCTATTTATACGGGTGGTAAATTAGGCTTATATTTTTTTTATAGAAGTTGCATATTCCACCAGCAATTCTGGAGGTATTCCTCTAAGTTACTCCGTTTGTTAAGATAAAGGCTTTTAAAATGGGCTTCTTACACGGGCCAAGCTTTGGGCTAGGAAATCCACTTTGCGATGGCATGGGCTTTATTTCCAGTCAGAATGCAGAACATGAATAACGGCTGCCCTCGGCAGCTCTGCAGAAGAAGCGCGAAACAGAAGCACGGGACAAGTAATGGCGGGAACGCTAGGAAGTGATTCTCAGAGGCAGCTTCTTACCCTAATTCGCAACTTCGCAACCGAGAAATCGCAAGGGGGTAATACATTCTGCTCATACTGTTTGTTTGGTTCCCGAGAAAATTTAGACTGTAGCGGAAAGGAATACTAGGAAAATTACTTGACCGAGAAACTGTAGAACTAGGAGGTCGTCGATCACAACATTATGCCTCATCGATGTGGAATTAAGCTCTTAATCATCGATTCTTCACTATTTATTTTGGGAACTGTGATTTTTTTTTGGTGCTGAAATTAGCTCAAAATTAAACGAGAGAGCGGTTACTGTACGTGTTTCGACGTATGCAGAACGGAGAATTTTAGGTCTGAAGAAGCGAATTGAAGAGCTTCGATCCGAGGCGGAAATCGCAAATGCGGAGCTTGAAGACGCCAAAGGCGCCAAAGAAACCGCTGAGCAAGAGCTTAAGGGCTATGAAGTTGAATTGGCTTTGAGTGAGGCTTCGATCCAAAGCCTAAAGGTAAAGCTCGAATTGGTTGAAATGTATTAATGCATAATTGATTAGGTTTTTATCTAATCTACTTAAATTATTTTCAGTCGAGGATTTCTCTGATTCAAGACGAAATTTCCTCCGTCAGATCTGATTTAGAAGCTCTTAAGGTAATTAAGCACGTCTCTTAATGTTATTTTTTTTTCCTTTTCCTGTTTAATGCTGAGGACAAAAATAATAATTCGTTTAAATTGGACTCTTACTTTTTCTATATTTTCTGTCTTTTCAACCTGAAACGTTGAATAAAACTCTTCGATCCTGCAAAGAACGATAAAGGAGCTTTACGGTCAGACTTTTATTTTTATCTTTAATTTAGTTGATGCAAGTTTTTCTAGTATTTCTTGAAAAATATTGAAATTTTTGCATGTATTTCTCTTGCAGTGATGAGTTTACGAGTCAAATGTTTGAGCTCAATGCTAAGATAAGGTTAGATTTGACTTAGCTCAATGCTAAGTCAAATGTTTATTTTTTTATTTTTATATTTTTTGAGGCAATGTAGAACAAAGTTTAGTGAGATGCTTACTAGATATTTAACTGAGTTTTGCTTTGACAAATAGATGTGTTGTGCGTAATAGTACTTTACTTCCTGTAAATTATGATATGTCTTGTTATTGATTAACGCAGGAAGTTCCAAGAGACATTTACTTGCAATTTTCACAAGGAGTTTTCTCTTGGAACTTTAGCTGGTATTAGCTTGTTTACACCGTTCAAATTTCTAGTCATTGGTTGGTGATTTAATGTATTTTGGAGAGACTAGAGATCATTTCTATTTTGAATCAAAAGAAGGCAACAAACTTGCAGGAAAGGAGCTTAAGGGAGTACCTTTATCTACTCTGGAGGACATGCTGGACCAAGTAATCTCTCAAACAAGTATGATGGAAGAAGAATACCTCGCAGAACAGAATATTCAAAAGCAGGTTGTAAATTAGTCTTTTGAACAATTGGAAATATTAAAAAGTGAAGGCTTAGCCTGTCGTTAATCTCAAGTATTATTCGTACAAATTAACCAAGGACATTGATAATCTTGCACTACTGCAGACCCAGAAGGAGTTGATTGATTGTGAGAGAAATGTGTCGCTGACTGAGGTCATACTGAAGACAACACAAGCGTTGCAGGACTTAACAAGATATCCTTACAGAAAATTCATGGCAAAGTGCTTACTTAATGATTTCTGTGGGCGAAGGAACAGAAAATTGTTCATCGGATGGGGTTGTTATCAAATTGTGGACAAATTGCTTAAGAAGCATTGAAGCAACATTATACATATTAAAGTTGCTTGCCCGCCATTACGTTTGAATCCTAGGATAATTCATTATTTGAAAATTTCCAGTCTCAAAAAAAAAAACATGATGGACATTTCGCTCAGACCATTTTCAGACACAGCTTAATGAGGGCATGCTCTTTTTGTTATAGAGGTGTATGGGAAGATATAAGTACGTTATAGCTTGCGTATTTTCATCATAGTGGTTGTTCAAAATTTGATACCGATTCCTTCTGATTTATTTTAGTTGTTTGAAGGTTTCCTCTGACTACAAAATATTGTAATTTACAACCATGACCTACTGAAATTGTTTCTTTGACTGAAAACAAGCAGACTTCTGAATTAGAACAGATGTGCACTGCCCTTGGTGAGGAATTGCAGAGAAGATGCATTTGTCCCAATTGTCATTTAGACAACGTGGAGGTCTTGGGTGGAATTCTTTAGTCAAGTGAGGCGAATTAATCTTTTGTAAGTATTTTGCTTGAATGACTACCTTTCCAGTGTTTTTCTTACCAAAAGTGTAGAATAATAGAAACTTGCACACTTTGTTCATACTAAGGTCATAGCATTTGAGGGCTTATTGGCACAAGGTGGAATGTAATGTACCGTAAGTTTTCTGCCGATCTTGCTTTTTTAAAGTTACATTGATTGTTTTAGGTCCTTTCAAGAACATTCACGGAATAGCAATGCCTGAACTCTGTTACTGTTGCAGTCTCTCTTTTGTGAGATTACACACACCGCAACACTCTTTTTGAGGGAAAATGTACATCTTAATTAATTCCTTTGGTCGTTACATGTTTCCATGAATCTAAAGTATCTGGCTTGCAGTGCCCTTTAGTATAAAACCTCAAATAGGAGGGAAAATATGATTACAGTAAGAGAAGATGGATTTTTTTTTCTTGACATATAGCATTGAAACCAGCGGCGGCAAATCAATCTCTAAAGCCCAAGTGCATTCACTCTCAACCGTTCTCATTAAGATTGCTGCATATATCTCGGCGATGCTTCTAGGTCCTTTATCATTAATGAAAGCAATGTTGAGTTGCCTTTATCTTCACCTCTGCTTGTTCCCTGCATTGTCAATTTTATAATTTCTATCACAACCGGCTCATGTATACTTAGAAACCGAGTTAACTCGTGCAACCAAAATTGCAAAACATAGTATCTGGGATCACAGAAATATCATAACGGAGAACTCACTGTTTGCTCATTAGGCAGTATGGTAGGAAGAATGGTTTGCAGACCAACAACTCTTGCACTGTTAGATTTCACCACTTCAATCTGTGTTGAGAATAGGGCAGAGACTGGCCGATGATCGGAGAACTTACTCTCACTGCGAAAATAGGATAGTTGCTTCACGCCTTTTCCATACCATAGAATTCTGTCACACCTGCAGCCATTGTATCTTCTCATGTCTATTCATGGAGAACCATTCGGGGAGGGGGGACGGGGACGGACAGTTTAACAAATTCCTAACTTGCCACCTAGAATAAGGTAGGGGCTTGTGGTAGTGGTAGATTTTGAATGTAAAAAAGGGGAATAGATCCAAGAGTCAAATAGTGGTCTTTTTGCAGTATAAAGTGGTGGGGGGAGAAAAGAAAGTGATTATTCTTACCATGCTGGAGTTCTTTGCTTCTCTCCCGTTCTGCTTGGAAGACCACCTGAATAGCGATTGCAATTTGATTGAGAATACTTGTAGGTAGGTGCAAATTCTATGTCCCCCTCTTTCCAACCCTGAAATACTCCGCCATATTCTTGTTCTCTTCGAAGTTGATCGAAGTCTTGCAATGCTCTCCAGTCTTGCTTCTTAATAAGCTGCCTGGCTAGACTGTCCTCCAAATACAGCCTATAGTTGAGATCCCCGAACCAGAATATCCGACTGTTTCAGAACAGATTTGTGTTATTGCGTTAATTTTGATAATGATGAGTAATTAATTTTCCCCTCCTTTTCCCCTCTTTCTTTTTCTGAAATTGTTTCTGATAAGGTTCTTCTCGTTTCAACCTTATGTAAATTCCCAAATTCTTTTGTAGCAGGAAAAATGTTTGAACTAAGATCTTGTTGGTGAATTTAGTAGTTTTATCATAGCAAATAGGATGGTGAACTAAAATATGAAATTCCCCTCCACATCGTGAACTAGAGTTATAATTACTCAAACTACTCAAAAGGAACTTGTGATGTACAATATGGTTAAATAAGATTTTGTTGTCAATTTTGGAAAGTGGTGAGTTGGAAGCGAGCATTTTAAAAAGTAGAAATTTTCACAGCTAAGCTGTAGTTTGCTGGAGTGCCACTTACTCGTGTCCTAAGATGGTAAGAGGATGAGGATTATCGTCATCTCCAAAGGACCGAGGGAAAGAAGTTCTCCTAAAAATCTCCGACACTTGGTGGTTCCTTCGACCTTCATCGCCTTTCTTCTCGCCAGAAGCTAAATGTGCAGCAATAAAGCAAAAGCTAGTCCCTTCAATCGACATGCTAACCGAAACCGAACCTTTGTTTCCCAAATAACCCATGATGCCACAAGCCACGGAACAAACTTTAACATTTGAAACGCAATACTTTCTGAGCAATTCATTTCTCATCCACACACTTATAAAGACTCCAACCATCTTTTTGCTTGCCATTAGTTTGTACTTGCTCCCAACGTTTGGCGTCGTATGTATAGTTTTTGATCGTTCTCTCATTGGAGTCGCACTATAGCTGCTAAGACTCTTCCTCCTCTCAGAGTCGAGAACCGGCACATAGAGATAATTGTCACTTGAGATTCGATTTACCAAGGGTGTCAACCAAGGACAACCATACTTGTCATTGAGAGCTTTCCCTATGAGCCCGTTCCAATTTGTTGCTTCCGTTGGGTCTTCTGCTCCGATCACTGTTCGGGTCTTTAAAGGTACAATCTCTTGAAATCTGCACCTTGGAAACTATTTGCCATCAAACGACACTTTCTTATGTTAAAAAAGAAAAATATCAAAGAAGAGATGACAATGTTGGGTGTTGACTTTTTTCATCATAACGTACCCAAGAACGTAAATGTCGGCCGCATCTTTGAGATTCAACCACTCGTCCAAATCTACGGCCAAACTGCCTATAGGTGACCTTCCAGCGACATTCCAAGTACCCACGAAGATTCTAGAATTTACAGAGACATACATTATACCAATCAAGAAGACGGAAGGAAAAAGAAGAAGAATCGCTTTTTTAAGTTCAATTAACCATGACAAAATTCATAAATCCTACCTCAACTCATTATTGGTTGGAGTGCATGGATCCATCTCGATGGACCGAACGAGAATATCATCCAAGTAATCATCACTTTCATCTTGATCATTCCCATCTGAATAAAAATTCTCACCGGCCGGTTAATAAAAAAAATACTTAAACAGGTAATTAAAAAGAAGCAGCAAGATTAACAAAATACCATAGAGAGAAGATGATGACCTGAAAGTTCATTTGGTTGATAAAGTTCAGGTCTCTTGTTCTTTCTCTTGAGCCACTTTGGAATCCCACGAGTTCTTGGTTTATTGTTCTCGCTATACATGATCGCTAAAAAGAGAGATCCAGTCCATTCCAGTGTACAAAAATGATAGGATTTAACTTCCTGTGACTTTGCTCATATGAAAGCTGGTCAGATCAGTTTCGTTGCTCTCAAGAGAAGTGGATTTGGCTATAAATGATCATCGTGCCAATAGCCGTATATACCAAAGAAACTGAAAGAAAGACAAAAGACGCGAACTTTAGAAAGTTATATTTCCAGCGACAACACCAAGAAAGGTTGGAGAGAGAGAGAGAGAGAGAGAGAGTACTTAAGTCAAAGCTGGTGGATAGTAAGGAAGAAGCTTCCCCTCTCAGCTCTCACATCTCGTGGTGCAAGTTAAATAACCGAACAAATAGGAAACCAAAAGAGATATTGGCCTCACAATCTTCTATCATTTGCTACATTATTAGAGTCATTACTTGCTTTGCTTTGTTAGTGACGGTCACGTTACTCACGTATGCCTCGTGGTTTTTTAGGTGACAAGTTCATTGCATTGACAAGTCAATGAACTATGATGATTTAACCATCTAAAAATAATCCTACCATTCTTAACTCCAGATAGATCTCCTATATTTAACGTATAGATACGCAGTACAAAGTATTATTATTATTATTATTATTATGTATGTGAAGCTATCCTTTTGTTTTCAAAATTAAAACTTTACTTTTGTCAATAAGTTTATCTCAAAAGTCTGTTTAATTGCTAAAAAGGACTAAAGTGAGATAAGAATAGCAACAGAATTTCATACATACTTTTTATCTGTATTTTGGAAGTATATGGTTTGACAATTTCAAAAATTATTCTTGAATATACTCAGAAAGATCTTACACATAACCCAGTTGGCTTAGATAGATTGCAGAAGTCGTGGCCACAAAGTACCCCTCCAACAGTTTTTTTTTCTCTTTTTTAAACGAATAGACTTTTTTTTTTTTTAATAATAGAATGAACAGCTAATCTTTCAGCACATTGGTCTAATTACTATAGGTCCGTTTAGTTCGTTAATTCGTATTGAGATATGATTTTATGTGAGAGTTTTTTATTGTAATAAAAAAATTAAATGTGACTGTTTCTAAGAACTTTTTATTATAGTAAACCTCAAATTGGTGAAATGAACAGGCTTATATAAACTCTACCGTTCTGATCACAATGTGCCACTTTGGTTGCCTTTTTTTTTTTTCTGCTCTCTTTCACTTTGTCAGTGTTTTTATTTTTATTTTTATTTTTTTTATTTTTATTTTATGATAAGATTGTCTCGCTATCAATACAGGTAGCCAATATGTATAAGAGGAGGAAATATGCAGGAGCAGTAATGAGGCCTGAAACTTGTGGGGGTTGTTTTGTTAGTTTGGACATTCTCAAAGCACTGTGGAGTGTGGACCGTAACACCACCAAAGATAAGATAGATAATAATAATACCGAAAATAGTAGAAAATAGGCCAATATGAAAAGTTTAAGAAAGAATATAGGTTAATTTTTAGTTATAGAAATTAATAGGTAATCACTTGTCAAGTTATGGTTCATAACCAGATAAGTTATGGACAAACTTGTTAAGTTATGGTTCATAACCAGACAAGTTATGGACAAAAATCGTGAATTATGGACAATAACTTATCAAGTTAATGGTTCATAATCAGACAAGTTATGGACAAAAATAGTGTCTCAACTCAACTATTTAGAAGTGTTTTTTGTCTCTCGCACAATTTTGCAGGTTCAACTCTCGTCCAATTCTCTGGTCCAGAGCCACGTGATGTTCTAATGATCTGTAAATTATGTCATAATTTTTGTGGAATGATTTACTATCTTATGGAAAGTTTATTAAAAATATATACTATGTGTTTTGAACATTTATAATATTGTAATTTAGATTTTTTTTTTCTTTCAAATTTATACAATTTAAGGATCAATTGATTTTCACTCCTGAATTGATGAATTTATTTTTTACATCCTATATATAAGCCTGTAACTAAACACAAATAAGATATGTTTAAAAAACGAAGGAACAACACCATAAAATTATATTTTCAGGCTAAGCTGCAAAGGATGAGTAGTATTTGATTACAGGTTTATTCATAAGCGACAAAAGATAAATTCATCCATTTAGGGGTCAAAACCAACCATTAACCTAGTCAAAATATAAATTTACCATGAATTTAAAATTCAGAGGTTCAATTTTGAGAACATCCAAAATACATGATACATTTTTATTTTTATTTTTATAGACACAATGCAAAATACAAATTAATACAAATTAATAACTATCCTATTCTTATATATGCTACCCTTCCGGTTCAATTAATTTCTTCCCATATCAGACTTTCCAAATTGCCACACATCCTTTGCATTTAGCGCCATTGGCGATTTGTATTTGGTACCAAAAGTGCTTGAAGACTTGAATAGAGTACAAAAGTCCTCTTATCTTTCTTTGAACAAATGAAATGAAAAGTCCTTGTATCTTTTATGGAGGAACTGGGGCCAACAGATCAAGACATACATTCAATTCCTGAGCTTTCATAGGTTTGGACATTCTTTTGAGAAGTAGATGTGATTGCAGTTTTGCAGATATATTTCAGTCTCAGCTATAATGAGAGATGTATGATACTCTATCTGCCTTCATTTGGACCATTGCTTCAGCTACCTTTCATTTCTTTAAACATTGAATGCTTTACCAACTTATAAATGAACATCTATCCATCCATGGTGGGTACTGGGTAGGTCTTCCAGCTTTATTATGAGGACTGAGAAGTGCACAAGTTAAATGGGGAAAGTACTCCAAATACTAGTTAATTTGCAATTTAGTAAAAGCAAACATTTTTGCACATCTTATTATACAAATGTCTAAACTATTTGGTTTTATATTTGTAAAATCAGTCAAACCATAGTGTAAAAGTGATATTTCAACTAAACACAACCCGTTTAGTTCGCTGATTCGAGTTTTTAATTCGAGTTGAGATGTGACTTTATGTGAGAGCTTTTTACTGTAGCAAAACTTGAATTCTAAACTCGAATCGGTAAAATGAACGGGGTCTAAGTGTTCTTCAAGTTAAAAAATATTCATCTAGGGATACATAGCCAGTGAGGAAACTAGGAATTTTTTCAAGGGAGCGTTTAAACTAAAGTAATGGTAGAACTATATTTTTTGTAACTATTTTTATAACAACAAAATTTTAAACTTATAGAATAATATATTGATTTTTGGTTTATTTGGCATTCTAGGTTTGAAATATGAGCTCCTTAAGTTAAACCTTGAGTCTAATTACAGTTTTTTTTTTTTTTTAAATCTCATATAAATATCAAAACTATAAAAGTTCAAGATGGACAGACTAAGGAAAAAAGTGTTGAAAATTTTTTTGATGGATAAAAATTAAAGGAGACCCTTGGGCCACGGGAAGAAAGGTGGCTCCGCCACTGGATGTGGCACTGACCACGGTAGGTGGAGTCGGTGCAGTGCATATGGCGGGTTTTTCGGGTTTATTGGACTGGTTCAAAATCAAATGTTTAGCAAAATTTTCTTTTTCCCTGCCTGGTAGTACTTGAGAAAATTTTTCACATCCTAACATACCAGTCTGACCATCTTTTAAATGCTCAGCAATTAGTGTTCGGCTACTTCCAATTTTATGTTGTTCCCCACATTCTGTTGGTTTTATCTTTTCCCATTACTTTCTTCTTCTTCTTCTTTTCTCTTTTACACGGGGAGCAGAATTCACTAAGCTTTCCTGCAATTAAATTTATTATGGTCCCAAGGGCAAGCTGACCTTTGCTCCTTCATGCAGGAAAATTATGGAACTGTCAAAGGTAAAATAAAAGCGCCATTTAAGACTGATCTTTTTGTCTATTCACTTTAGATAAAAAAAAAAAAGCTAAGAGTTTAAAATATTTTTCCAATTATTGCACGATTAGTTCCTGAATTGTTTAGGAATAGATTTTGCGGTCTTTATATTTTTAACTTGGTCATCTATCTGTAAACTATTGATTTCTTTGCAATGTTACAACGGCTGAGGGGAAAAAATGACAGCCGTCATTAATTTTGACAATACTGCAAAGAAAACCTGATTGACCAAATTAAAAATATAAAGACCAAACTGCCTAGTAAACAATTCAAGAACTACTTATCAATTACCCAATTTTGTCCCCTGAGGGGAAAAAAATGATGAGGCACAATGGCAATTAATCTTATAGTAACTTTGACTTGGAACATACTCTAAACTCAAGAACTCATTAATTTGTTCTGTGGGGTTGCTTTTACTTCTCTCTTTCCTGTAAGAATTGTTTGGTTTTGAGGTTGCTTATTTTGCTTCTATAAACTGATAAACCTAGTAAAGTGCAAAATAGAATAATGGTATAGATACTTGGTCATCAAATTGCATACTTTGAAACCAAAACTTAAAACACATAAACTAAACAACCTCTAAACTTCCACAATGCTGGAAGAAAAAAACAAAAGATTAACAAATCTCTCATCTCATTTTGCTAAAGTTTGAAACTCGACACGCTCTACTCGTTCCAACCTTTCAAACAAGTACTCTTTGCCGCATTTTCTCGCATCCGAAACCAAATGCCGTCTAAACATGACAATGAAAGCTTCTGCTCTCTCATTGAGCTCTTCTTTGGACAGCCTTGGAGGTTCTATTTCTCTATCTTCTTCTCCGCAACCATTTGTTGATGATAATTTCCCAGGCATTCCTCGGACTCTTCGAGCTTTATAACTTGCTCCGACGAGCACTTGGAATGCTTTCTCCTTAGCTTCTTGCTCCTCTCAATCTTCATGACTTCTACATTATTGCTTTCCTTTTGGCTCTCTTTTGGTTTGGAAAGCGTTGAAGTGAAAAGAATGGCTAGGAGTACAAGGTTAAGCAAAACAAAAACCCATGCACGCCATTTCTCTAGAAGAAACACCACCAAGACTTTCTTCAGACAAGCCATTAACACGGCCGTTCCTGCTGTGAACAAGACCAAGTGAATACAACAATCGTCTTCAAACTCTCTCTCCTTTGTTACTCTGTCATGACTGATCTCTTTTGAGTCTTTAATTCCCTTGTCCATTTTTCTCTCTTTTTTTTTTTTTTTTCTGTTTGTGTATTTCTCGAGTACTACTAATTAACAATAATAATAATAAACAAGAGAACATGAGATGGGGTTTTTATAACAGACTCCAATGCATGGTGGCATTATTTAGATGTTGAATTTGCGCTCCACTTTTGAGAGGACAGCTGTGTTGTTTCAGTAAGGAAATGACTGGTGGGAGAGAAGCTGCTTAACTGAATAGGAGGAGACAAGCAGACATATATGCTTATAAAGTTGCAACCACTATAGCGACCATATGATATTTCTCCAACTCAAGAAGTTTTGAAGAAATTACTCAACATTTGAGCTTGGTCCTAGCAAAAAAAAAAAAAAAAAAAAAAAAAAAAAAAAACCCATGCATTACCATATGGGAAAATGGGGATATCTAGACTTGATAATTGACTATACAATATTTGGTTTTATCATCTTTGAAAAATGGTCCTATTTTGAATGAGGAGATTTGGGAACTGTTGAACAAAAGTTGTCTAGTGTAGTAGGGAAATAAAAATTAGTAAATTGCATTGTTGGATTCTAGACTTTTTATTTTATTTTTGTTTTGGAATAGTACATCTTAACTTTTAATTTTGTCAATTTACTAACTTTTAAATTAGTAAAAATTGAAATCGAATAGCTGAAGAGCGTTATCAAATCAGTGGTTGAGCACACAATATTTGCATGTGACTTGGTTTGAAAAATGACAAATTTTACCTCTCATGTGTATCTCAAGCGATCAATTTGGTAACATTTTATTAACTATTAGACCTTAATTGTTACTAATTTTAGGTTCACAGTATAATTTATATTAAAATTTAGGACAAAAAAACAAAAAATCTAAGATGCAATAGTGTGATTTTCTCGATAAAAAATTTTCAAATTTTGTTTTAGTGACGTAATTGTTATGGGGATAGGAGATTTGTTTACATGGGAAAGTGGAGATCTATTGCTCAAAGCTGCACGCCTTTAGGCATGAAAAGGGAAAGAAGATGCAGAATGTACAGTTGGGTGAGGCAGGATTATGCCGGGGAGAGTGAGAGCAATCAAAGGAAACGTGAGCAGCCCAAAAGCACGCCTTGTTCGGTTACCGTTCAGGCGTTTCATCATCAGAAAACGACCCCACATGTGACCCTTTTCCTACTACATCACCAGCATCAGTCAAGCAGAGAATCATTCCCTTTGGTTTTCTTTACGAGGTTCTTTGCTTTTCTTTAAACAAATACTTTTAATTTTATCCTGGTAGACTTTTGTTTTTGTTTTTGTTTTTCTTCTTTTACTGCCCGTTCGGTCAGAAGATTCTTATGAGTTTGAACTTAAAAAGCAATCTAATCTCCCTGTTTAATTATTTGATTCGAGTTGACATGTAATTTTATATGAAAGCTTTTTACTGTAGCAAAAAAGTTAAAAATGATTGTTTGTGAGAGTTTTTTACTGTAGCAAAACTCGAATTCTAAACTTGAATCAGCGAAATGAATAGGGCATTGATTTTAGATTTTGGATTCACTTCAACCCAAAATTAAAACTTTACTCCCTCCAAAATTCTTTGGATTCTAACCTAAAATACTGTTCATAAAACTAACTAAAGATTCTAAATAACTGATTTTGTTGAAATTTAGGCTCCGTTCATTTCACCAATTTGAGTTTAAACTTTGAGTTTTATTTCAGTAAAAAATTCTCACAAACAGTCACATCTAACTTTTTTATTACAGTAAAAATTTCTCAAATAAAGTCACATTTCAACTCAAATTAGTAAACTAAACGGGCTCTTAAATGTTTAAATCTACACAATTCGAACTTGCGAAGCAAACGAGACATTAAAGTTTAGATATCTGAAAGAAAACAGTGGATAAGCCACCGTGACTATTATAATCGTGGAAAAGCTAGCAGTATCCAAGAGTCACCGTTACTGTAAGTAGATACGTTGATATATGTAGAGGTAATATTGACATGATTCTTTTGTTTAAGGTTGAAAATCGAACAATAAACTGAGTTCATGCAGAGCAAATTGCTCTGGTTTATGGCAAAAAGCGACATTCTGCAAAGTTATAGTTTTGATTTGCAAGCCACCAGAGACGACCATTAATTGTTGAAAAACTAATTAAAAAAAAAAAAAACCACAGCATGACTAGCTGATGCAACTTCCTCCACTTGAGTAGCATTACATGAATGATATCAAAGGCATTCAACCGCAACTATTTTTTTGCAACTTTGTAACAAACTAGAATTATCCAAGTCGCGTTTCAATCATACCAAATAGCATAGCAATTCAATTATTTAAATTGGGTCATATTCTTGATGGAAAAGGGAAGAAAGAAACAAAAAGTAGAAACTATGATACATTAAGCATTAAAAAAATTATTACCCCCCAAAAAAAAGAGGCTGAAATCGTTTATTTTATCATCCAACGCCGAAACTAGTGTGATCCACATAAAAAAAGAGGTTTGTATTGCAACTTATTCCAAAATAAAATTGTAGGAGTTACAAACTTGCTTATTGATAGAGGCAAATAAAAGTTCATTTTGATTCAGCAAGAGAAAATCGATGATGAGGTGTAAAGCTGTATATTTGATAACAGCAAGTATATTTATAAAACAAAATTGTAATAGTGTTAGACTGATCATATTATCAACGACATAAACCGCAAACTCTCCCTCTCTTTTGATGACTCGTGATCGATCAGCCGATGTTGCATAAGAAGGTGAGTTTGCTAATGCTAGGAACATGAATACTACGAAATATTCACCTTTCTGATTACCTCATCGTCTTCCGAGAAATCCGAACAATTATATAAGCTGCAAAAAAAGACAAGAAAAAGATCACTCATCACGTAGGATAAACTCAACAAACATGAAGATATCTTGTAGAAACTCAGAAAAAGAAAACTAGTATTGGACATGTTTAGCTGCAATTATCAATGCTGCAATCACATTCAGAAATGCTCAAGACCTAACGATTTACACACATGCTTGTCAGCGGCTATGGTGACAAGCTTGTTCTCAAAAAGGGAATTGCCACCGAGTATATCTACAAGAGGTATTGTCCAGAAAATTTATTTCAAATGTGCAAATTCTCCGTGTGCATCCATTTCTGTACAGCTCGGTCTTTTTGCTCCTCATGATTATGGAGGCAAAGATAATGCAGTTAACGTTGGCCAAATCAGAAGAACTTAATCTTTTAGTTCGTTTCATTGTAACACAACACTTGTCGTCCAAAGCTCTCTCATTCCAGGGCATGCTCTTCATCTCAGAAGTTCAAGAGTATCCACAGTTTCGCATCCTGAACTTGCGAAAGTTGACGACCTTTTTGAAAAAAATTCATCTTCCACAGTTAATTTTTCCATTCGAAGACTGCACCTGATTTTTTTCACTTTCTCAAACACATCTCCTATATGTTCTAACCGTGCTCAAAGCTTCGTCATCACCATCTCTGTCTCTTGCAGTTGTGCCTCAACCTCTTCAATCCTTTGCTGGCTCAAGGATGTTAACTCCGCTTCAGTAGTTTGTAACGAATGAAACAAACAGTTACCGACTAGTACATTACGTGAGAGATGAAACAATGGTTAAAAAGAAATGTCTATAAATGTATTCACATTTACATATGTTATGCAGAATAGCAGTGAAATGCAAACTTGAATGGATATCAATTTCAAAATTATACTTCTGTATATGCATATTACTCGATTACCTTTCGTTCTCCTTGAACATAATGTGCACCGCACTATGCTCTCAAGCCAGTCCAAGTGAATGAAATAGACATACAATCGTTCGAAATCCTCAAGAAATCCATATAACAAATAATTGGGTAATATTACAGATTTTGAGACTACTACTCCTTGAAAGAGCAGACCCCATAGTTGCTTGTCTAATTATGAGGAACCACGAACAAGAAGCAGAAGAATGTCCTAAACTAATGGTCCTAAGGCATGTAGTCAGGCACGGGAAAAAACAAAATAAACAAAATAAAAGTATAACCATTCAACCATATGACAAGAAATTCCCTCACAAGCTACTTTCCAAACAATGACGATTTATAGTCTTACCGAGAGAATGCACAACGAGCAGATATAAGCTATCATGCTTCAAGAATAAGAAATTCTTGAATCTAGAAGACTCCAAGGCCTCTCGTTCGTTTTACCGATTCAAGTTTTCAATTTTAATTTTGCTACAGTTAAAAAATCTTACAAAAAGTTACATCTAACTTTTTTTACTAAAGTAATATGCTCTCACACAAAGTCACATCTCAACTCAAATTAAAAAACGGGGCCCAAATAGCTTAAAGTTCCGTTTGGTAGGAGAGAAGGAAAAAGAGAGGGAAAGAAAATATACAAAAGAAAATGTGAATGAGAGAAAAGAAGTCGGTTTTCCTTTTATCTTGTTTGGTATCGTAGGAGAAAAGAAAACGAGTGTTCAATTATATTACCATCTTACTAATTATTTGATATTATTTTAGTTTTAAAATAAAGACAAAACGTAATTTAACTATTTAAACATGACACAACAAGTTTTCTATTAAAAAATCTCTTCACTTTCGGAGAGTGAGAAAATGGTGGGATTCACATGTTCTTTTTTCCATCTAATTTTTCCTCTTACCAAACAACTTAGAATTCTATTTTCTCTTCAAAAATCCCTCCACCCTTTTCTTTCCTCCCACTTTTCACCTCTACCAAACACAGTGTAAATAGGTAAATCACGCAATTCAATCAAAACTTTTGGGTGAGATTGTGTTAGCTACTGCTCCGTAAAAGCAAGAAATAATTTGAAACTTGAAACAGTCTAACCAAACAGTAAGAAGGAGATCCCCCAATCCGAAAGTCTTCCAAAGACGCAAATATATAACATTTAGTTACAATGCGGATAAAATGCTCATCAAGTGCAAATTTCCTTAATTAAGAAAAGAGAAAGAGCAAAAGGAAAGACAAAAACTTGAGCCAGTTTCTTCATAGAAACCGAGGAACTACATCGCAAAACTGATTCGATCAAAACCAA